CTCAAGTGGTAGAGCGCTCGCTTTGAGCTGAAGAGCTGAGGGACAGCGCCCAGGCCCAGAGTTCAAGCCCCACGACCGACAAAAAAAAAAAAAATGAGTGAGGTGTTCATGCTTCAGGGGTTCTGGGCAGGTTTCCTGCCTGCAAACCCAGGTGTGTCTGGATTCATCACTTTCAGCTGCAGACAGATGATTCTTGAACACAGAACCCTTCAGCGCTGATGTCGGTTGGTTTTGTCTCTCTCCTCCTAATGGTTTCAGAGGATGTCCACGTTCGTGATGCAGAGCATGGCGTTTCTCCAGTCCTCCTCTGCCATTCCTGGGTCCCAGTTACACGTGAACGGGGACCTCAGGTTACAGCAGAAGCAGCCTCTGAGTTACAGCGGCCTAGATGTCCGGTACAACGTAAGGATGCTCCTGACTGCCCGTCTCTTTTTCTGTGGGTTTTTAAAAAATCACATTCTTTGAAGAGGGAGGAATTGAAGTTAGAAATAGCATTTTCTCTGTGGAAGGAACTTCTTGTCATAAATTCTTTCAAGATATGGAGGTGGTATACCTTTATTTATACCTAGAGAGAGAGACAGGAGAAAAGTCTTTGTCTCTGTGTGTTTTGCTCATTGCTTCAGTGGTTTTAGCCCATCGTGGCAGGGAGTGCTGGGAGGGGCAGTCACTTCCTGCTGGACTGGAAGCAGAGTAGATCACTAACAGGATGGGGCGAGGACAAGATAAAGTCCCCAGGGCTTACCCCAGTGATCTGTCTTCTCCAACCAAGGCCTACCTTCCAATAGTCTTTTCAATTTTTTTTTTCTTTTGTGCTAGTCCTAAGGCTTGAACTTAGGGTCTGGGGACTGTACCTGAGCTTTTTCACTCAAGGCTGGCACTCTGCCATTTGAGCCACAGCTCTACTTCTGACTTTTTGGTGATTAATTGGGAGGTAAGGGTCTGTGGAATTTTCTACCAGGCTGGCCAGGAACCTCAATCCTCAGCTCTCAGCCTCCTCAGTAGCTATGATTACAGACATGAGTTACTCAGTGCCCAGCTCTTTTCAGTTTTTAATTCATCAATGGATTAAACCATTCATTAGGTCAGCTCTAATCCTATTTGGTAATGCCCTCACAGACAGGCCCAGAAGTGTGCTTTACTAATCTACATGTGGATCAATTCAATCAAAATTAACTACCACATATCCCAAATGATCATGTAAAATGAAAAAATTAGCCAGCATTTATTGAACGAGTAGCATATGCCATCCCTGAGTTAAGGGGTTTACAACTGTGGAGGTGCACAACTCTAGTCCTAGCACTTGGGAGACTGAGATGGGAGGATCAATAGCCCAGGAATCACAGACTCTCACCTGCACTACAGCCTCTTTTGATTGTATCTTTTTTTTTTGGGAGGGGGGAGTGCGGCGGGTGTTACTGTGTTTATACTGTAGCTTTAAAAGCTGTGATAGGTGGACAATGACCCCTTGTTTCCATCCCCACAAAGAAAGCCAGAGTAAAAGGATTCAAATGGTTGCACTGGAGTTTATTTATCCTTTTTTTTTTGGGGGGGGGGTCCGTCGTGGGGCCTGGACTCTGGGCCTGGGCGCTGTCCCTCAGCTCTTCAGCTCAAGGCTAGCGCTCTTCCACTGAGCCACCTTCCCAGCCCCAAGTGTATTCATCCTTGAAGGAAAGATTATTGATGGTGGAACAGGTCACCAAGAATAAGCGGATGTTCTCTGGGACCAGCTCAGGTGCGCAGGGCTGGGAGGGACACTGACGCCTCGTCCTCCTGCCCCACTCACAGGTGTCTGTGATCAACGGGACCAGCCCTTTCGCCCAGGACTATGACCTTACCCACATTGTGGCTGCTTATCAGGAAAGGAATGGTGAGTCACGGGCAGGCCAGGGGACCCATGGTGAAGAGAATTGCAGGTGTGGGGCAGTGGAAGCAGATAGAAATAGAACCTTTGGGAACTGGGAAGGTGGCTCAGTGGTAGAGCACTTGCCTTGCATGCTCGAGGCCCTGGGTTTGATTCCTCAGTACCACATAAGAAAAAGCCGGAAGTGGTGCTGTGGCTCAAGTGGTAGAGCGCTAGCCTTGAGCTGCAGAGCTGAGGGACAGCACCCAGGCCCAGAGTTCAGGCCCCACGACCAGACCTCCCCGCCAAAAAAAAGAAATAAACCTTTGTCATAATTAAAAAAAAAAATCTCAGCCATTGGAGAGTCAGTGGCAGTTAGAGCACAGGCTCCCCGGGGTTTGTGGATTTGGTCGTTGACTTCACACTCACCCCCCGTGCCCATCCACCACCCTGCTGGCATCCATTGTTCCCACCAGCCATACCTGTCCCACCACTGGCTTGGTAGCTTCCTTTTCTTTTTTTTTTTTCTTAATGTGTCTGTAAGCCTGATATATTCCCTATATCACACCTGTAAAAGAAGCCAAAGAAAATTTGCTATTCCCACTTTTCAAATAGAAATAGAGCTAGACATGGTTATTTAAGCCTATAATCCTAGCAACCTGAGAGATCAAGAGGACTGTAACTTGAGGTCAGATAGGACCAAAGGTGGTGGGGCGGGGGGGGGGGGGGGGG